GCACAGTAGCGCGCCGAGACCGGCGGGCCTGCGAGGCGCGTGCGAGGAAATGGGGAAGGCCAGGACGGACCAGTCCCAGCTGCAGGCACTGCGCCGCGGGCACCAGGGCGGATGCGGGACGGCACAGGGCTGGGTAACGCTGAAGCAGGTGCCGAGCGGCACAGAACAGTAGCGGAGGAAATGCAGCCATGGGGGCGGTGCCCGACCCAGTGGACCAACGCGCGGTCCAAAGATGAGTCAAAGCGCCGTGGGCCTGCGAGGCGCGGGCGTGAGGGGCGGAAGGCTGGGGAGGCACCGCTCAGGCAGAGCAGGACGAGAGCGGCCAGAGGAAGGCGGCGGAATTGACGGAAAGACGAGCGCCCTGAACCTCGACCCGCACCGACTGGAAGGAACCCCAACATCGGCAGCGGTGGGGAGCGCCGAGACAGGGCAGAGCAAGGACAGCGCGGAATGAGGGACGGCCCGGCGGGGCGCGGTGCGGCACCCAGGGCAAGGAAGGAGTAGGGCACCGCCAAGTGGGGGGGGGGCCGGACCAGGGCAGGCAGAACGAGGGGGGAGGGGCGACGAACCCGAACGCCAGCCGGCGGCGGGCAGGAAGGCCACGCCCAGTGGAGGGCGGCAAGCCATGTGGGCGAGCGGGTGAGCCCAGAGGCAGGGAGCCAACTGAGCAGCAACCGGCATGGGCGAGGCGAGGAGCGACAGCGGCCAAACACCGGTAGCCGGTGCTGGGGAGGTGGCCAGAAAACCAGGCATCGAAGACTGTTGCCGGCCGGCGAAGCACGGCAAAGGCCAGAGAGGCGCCGCAGGCAGGGCCTTGACAAAACCTGCAGAAGGCCGGCGCCCCAAGAAGCAGGGGGTAACGGCAGCGCAGGGCACCCCAAGGCGGGCGGGAGGGGCGGCCCGAAGGTCACGAGCGGGCGGCAAGACCAGCCTGCTGTGTCAGGGCCAACCCGGAAAAGGCGGCAACGATGGGAACCGGCCAAGCGCCAGCTCAGGCGCTGGCGGGCCCCACGCATGGGCGCGGGAAGAAGGGAAGCCTCGAGCGGCTGGAGGCTTGCGGGGGGGGGCACCGAACAAGTGCCTGCGAGGGGGGCACTGAATAGGTGCACGATGTAAGAAAGCCACAAAGGCAAGGAGGGGAGGACAGCTGCCAGGGAGGCCACTGCCAGGGCGGGGATGTCACGGACGAAGCTGGCTGGCTGAACGCTACCAGCGGTGGCTGCTGGAAGCTGACCCGCGCTGGCGGGAAGCGTCGTTGCTAGGCAAAAAGGAATCCGCTGGCCGCTTCCCTTTCCCGTGCGGCGGAGCACCCGTCCCTCCTTTGCCTTTCGCGAGCTCAGAGCTTTGCCTCCGCTTGTCAAGTTCGCGGCACCACTGAGCGTGCCAATCGATTTGTACGCCTTTCTTCAAATAAACTCTGCGCACGTCGTAATTGACCTCGCTGAGGTCATGTACGAAACCTTGGCAGAATTCAAGGTTGTGGCGCTGCGGGTCTTTGGCGGAGTGGGGTCCAGACTCTTGGTCACAGATGGCGTTCCACCCGATGGTGAATATGGGGACACATTCTTCCTTGAGGCGGTTGATCACCGCTCTCCAGTCCTTGCATTGTCTCAGTGGTTCCAGATAGCGTACCAGGTCACCTGGTGTCTTGGCTTGTTGTAGAGCCCGTCATTGTTGTCCGACTGAGGCGCGGGCAATGCGAAGGGGGGCGGGTGACGTGGTGCCAGCTCCCGTCTCCAGGGCGGGGTGGTCTCCGTTGAGCCTCGTCCGCGCCACCTTTGGGGTGCGCTTGGGCTGCGCTGCTCGCTGGTCCTGGGGTTTTGCGCACTGGCTCCTCCTCTGCGGTCTGCTTGGCGTTGGAATGGGGCTGCGCTGCCAGTGGGACCTCAGCACGAACGGGGCTGGGTGAGGGGGGCACGCTGACCGCTGGCTGAGAGGAGTTGCTGAGGCTGCGCCTCCTCCCAGAACGCCCGCTCGCAGGACTGTCCGGGGGAGCCCCTCCACTCCAGTCGCAAGAAGATTTGCGGGAGGGCTCGCGAGAGGCAGAGCGGGAGCTGGAGTTCCTGGCTGCCCTGCCCCGCCGAGCCTCGGGGGTGGCATCAGACGACTCAGTACGCCCATCCTTGCCACTGGCGCGGACTGGCACAATTCCACGCCCCGCGGAGGAGGGGGACTGGCTGGGGGCACGCCGCTCCGCACACACACACACATACACACACACACACACACACACACGCACGCACGCACGCACGCACGCACGCACGCACGCACGCACGCACGCACGCACGCACGCACGCACGCACACACACACACACACACACACACACACACACACACACACACACACACACACACACACACACACACACACACACACACACACACACACGCGCACACACGCACGCACACACGCACGCACGCACGCACGCACGCACGCACGCACACACACACACACTCCCTCTCTCTCACACACACTCTCTCACACACACATACATAGGTATATACATGCATGCATGCATGCATGCATGCATGCATACATACATGCGTTCATGCATACATACATGCATGCATGCATGCATACATACATACGTACATGCATATATACGAACATGCATGCATACATGCATACATGCATACATGCATACATACATGCATACACACATACACACATACACACATACACACATGCACAACTATGTCCATACAAAAATACATACATAAATGCACACATGAATGCATGCATGTATACATACATACATACATACAAACATACATACATACATACATACATACACATACACATACACATACACATATACATCTACATATGCATATATATATACATTTACATGTACCTTTACATATCCATATACATCACCATATCCATATACATATACATGTACATATACATATGCATATACATACACATATACATATACATAAACATTTACATATACGTATCCATAGATATACATATACATAAACATATACATATACATATATACATATACATATGCATACACACATACATACACCAATACACACATACATACATGCATGCATGCATGCACGCATGCATACACACATGCATGCATGCATGCATGAATGCACACATACATATATACATACATACATACATACATAACTGCATACATGCAGCATGCATGCATACATACATACATCCACACACGCGCGCACACACATGGACACAAACACAAAGACAGACACAGACACAAACACAAACACGGACACGGACACAAACACATACACACACATTTTTTGCGTCGGCGGCTAGGCAGACTCAGTGCGCTGGCGGGGAACACACACAAACACACACACACACACACGTACACACACGCACACACACCACAAACACACATACACACAGACACACACACACACACACGCACACACACACACGCATACACACACACACGCACACGCGCATGCACGCACGCATATGCATATGCATATGCATATGCATATGCATATGCATATGCATATGCATATGCATATGCATATGCATACGCACACGCACACGCACACGCACACGCACACGCACACGCACACGCACACACTTTTTCCTCCGCCAGGGATGTGACACCACAGTACCACGGTTGCGATCAAATATGCGCGGGGCGCGAACGTATTAATCGCACCCAAAATTGTGGGTGGAAGACAAGCTGGAGAGGGTAACCGCATCCGACGCGAGAGCAAGGCGACCGTCTCTCACAGACTTGTTCCACCGACGCGTCAGTGGGTCGCAGCTAGCGGTAAAAATTCAGGCAGGGACAGCATCAATATGATTCATCCACATGTGTGGAAACGTTCAGAAACATGGATTTCCAACGTCACACTGACACTTTTTCCATCTTATTCCTATGTCGCGCCGATCGGGGGGTGCGGTCGACTGTTTTAGCGCTACTGAAGAGGAACGCGACCAAAGTAAATTGACCACCTTGATTGGGGAGCGTGAGCAAGCCTGTGAGTCTCAGCGAGAGAATGGCATAGCCGACACCTGGGCATCAACGATCAGGCGCGCACAAGAAAATGAAACGCAAAATAAACATGAGATACGCACACCAAGCCAGGGAGGAAGCGAGGGAGGCGGATAACGACGAGCGAGCTAGACGGCAAGCCGAAAAAGACGACACGCCGAAAAGACGCCGACCACACATACGAAGTCACGCGCACACATGTATCTTACGTCTGCAGCCATGTGCGCAACAACATGGCGGTCACAGTCGATGCGGACCTGGAGCAGAGCAAGCGGGAAGAAAAGAAGGACCAAGAGCGGCGGCGTGTGGGGAGGCGAAGGCGAACGACAGAGACGCACGCACGAGTAAGGGGGAAAGCGGAAGCAGGGCAGGGGACACTCCTGCACACACGCACACTTTTTCTCCGATGCGCAGAAAGACCCAATCAGCGGGCAATGCTACGGGACACCTTGGTTGATGATTAGGCTACTTCGACACACACACACACACACACACTTTTTGGCGTCACGGCCACGCGCGCGGCGGCGTGGCGTAGAACAGGTCAGGCGAGCGCGCGCACCGGCCCAGCTCACGCGGCGTGTAGAAGCACACACGCACACACACGCACGCACGCGACGGTGGGGAACATGCGCGGCAGCGCAACTGGATCTGACGCTCGTCCTCTCCAACTGGGGCGGTGCGCGAGCCAACCCCATCCTTCGCTGGGATGCCACAGGAAGGTCCAGCAGGCCCCGCAACCGTCAACCAACAGACACGACGCGAGCGCCAGGAGGACCCCCACGCCTTGGGCAGACGAGCCTCAGAGGAAGAAAAAACTACAGAAACATAAACTTTCGGAGCTCCGCGCGCATTTCTTGGATCGGCGCTGGAGGCGCCACCAGGGGGGCCTCAGCGCCGATCCGAGAAATCCACGCGGACCTCCAAAAGGTTATGTTTATGCCGTTGTTTGTTCTTCGGAGTCTGCCGCTGACGGGCCGTGGCCTCCGAGGCCACCGCCAGTGCTCAACGCGGTACTGCGCCCAAGGGCGATCCCAGGAGCATCGGCAGGAACGGGTGCGAGCATTCGGGCGACCCCGCGCCCACGCTCCACGAGGTGGAGCGTGGCCTGAAGTCACCTCGGGCGTTGCCGTTGCTTACTGGGGGGCAACAAATGTGGGGGCAAAGTAACGTGCACCTTGCGTTCCCCGTTTGGGCCCCAGGGGCCCCTTTGGGGCACAGAAGGTGCACCTCTCTCGACCCCCCATTCGTCGCGCCCCCATCACGCAGCGCCAGATCACCCACGCTCCACGAGGCCGCCGGCGACCGTGCCGCAGCTGCGAGAGGTGATGGGGCGGCCGGCGCATTCACGGGCGCGCAGGCAGTGGGGGTGCGCTCGATGTATGCGCCCAAGCTCCACGAGGCCGTGGGCGACTCCGCGGGCGAGCACGTGGAGCCCCACCCCTTCGCCGCGTCGCCGCCCATGTTCATCTTGTGCGCGAGAGTGGCCGCCTTCATCATGGCAGTGCTGCCAGTTCGCAGCAGGTCGGCCATCGTCTTCGCCGGAGACTTCTGCACGGCGGGCGATCCAGGGGCGGAGGGCGCCGGCGAGTGGTTCCAATCGTTCAGGCTGCGCGACTTCCCGCCGCGTGTCGCCCGGGGCTTACCGGGGGTGGCCCCAGCGCCGTCCTCGGCCGGCGTCTGCGGCACGCCCGAGCCATACAGGCTGCGGTCCTTCCGTGGCTTGCCGTGGGCAGCACCAGCGCCGCCCTCGGCCCGCGTCTGCGGCACGGCCGAGTCATACAAGCTGCGGTCCTCGGGAGGGTGCTAAATCAGTGCGGAAAGCTCAGTCTCCGTCTGGGCTCACTCCGTCTGGACGTACGAGGAGAGCAGTAACCGGGTTGGGAGGACGGGGTTGGGAGGATGAAGGACATGAGCAAGAGCATCAGGATGCAGTGAACGATACCTTCGGCCGCCTACGAGTAATGATATCCTCATGTCTCCCAACCCCGTTCTCCCAACCCGATAATCCCACCAGCCCTTTGGGCGACAGGTGGTCTAACGAGGGTCCCTTTCCTCTTCCAAAACCCCTCTTCCCTTCGGGGAGTGGAACCCTCCCCCTCCCCTCCCTGAGGTTTTTTGGGAAGGGGCCGCGAGGTGTCAGAGGGTCTTGTTTTCGGCCCCTGAAACGGCCAATTTTTGCCACCCCTCGCGAGGATCGTGGCCCCTGCGGGGGGGACGAACATTTAGTACCCCCCCTCTTTTGACCGGACGCCTCCAAGATGACCCCAAGAGGCCCTCCAGGGCTCCCACGGGGCTCCCAAGAGGGCCCGAAGAGCGCCCCAAGAAGCAAGCCCCAAAAGGCCTCCAAGAAGCACCCGAAAGGCCCCCAAGGGGTCCCCGAGCGGCCTCAGAGAGCCCAAGATGACCTCCAAGATGGCTCAGATAGCCCCAGTTGGCTCAAGATGGCTCCCAAGATGCTCCAAGCGGCCCCAAGACCGCTCCAAGACGGCTCGAGATGGCCACGGAGCCTCCCAAGCCTACCTCGCTGTTCGACTATGCGTGTCCCTTCCCCTCTCCCCCCGTCATCTCTCATGGGCATCGTTTCTGAATGCTGGTGGGGATACCTTTTGGTACGCAGGCGCACAAAGCGGGTCGGACGCCAGGCAGGCAGGGGCAGGCTGTGCCTCCTGCGAAGCTGGTGGGGGTACTTTTTTGTCGCAACCGCAGGCGAGGGCGCCAGCGGCGAGTCAGGTCCGAGCGGGCCCGCAAGAGCCGAATTGCCTAACGCCGACGGGCCGGCGACCTCAGCAGCGCCTCGGCGGGCGGGCCGGCGTGAGGGGGGGTGCAAGCTGCAGCTGCCAGGGACCAGGTCCGGGAGCGCGCACATGCAAGATTACTAGTGGGGATACTTTTTCGGTCGCGGCCGCGAGACGACGGTCAGGCGGCGAGAGCAAAGTCTGGGACGCGAACTGGGCGAATTGGCTAAACATAATGTTAGCACGGGCGCGACTGTTGGGGATACGCGAAGCGTTAAGAACTGAGTTCCTGAACTTAGCCTCTCCTGCGGTCCTTCCGTGGTTGGCCGTGGGCGGCACCGGCGCAGCCCTCGGCCGGCGTCTGCGGCACGCCCGAATCGTACAGGCCGCGGTCCTTCCCGCAGCGCCGCGCCTCGCGCGGCGGGGTCTCTGGCGCACCGCGGTCACCCTCCGGCGACAGATCGCCCCAGCGCTCCTCAGAAGTTGGTACCGTTGAAGGAAAAATCAATTGCATCAAGAAGTGGAGGCTACAAGAAACCCAACCCTGAGACCCCAGGGCGTCCATTGGTTTTTGGTGTGGGAACGTCACGATTTCCATAGCAAACCATCGAAGCCCAAAAAACATGCAGGGCACCCTGGAGGCAAGCAAGGTGTTTCTTGGCATGAGTCTCCACTGTGATGGATGTACGGTCGGGAACTTCTGGATAGCGTGTCGCGGCGGCGGCTTCCGGCGGCACGCTGTGCCCTGCGAGCGGACAGCGTGTCGCTTCGCTCCGCGGGGCGGGAGGCTCGGGAAAGCTCGGAATGTGGACGCGTGTTGGTGGTCCCCAAACGTATCCAAACGTAGTGGTGACAACACCCCGCGGTGAGTCTCGGGCGACCTGGTGTCACCACCCAGGTTGGGGGACTCCCGAACGCTGGTGGGCCCAGGAATCACAAAGCCCGACGGTGACCCCGTCTTCCAGAGCCCAGCGGTGACTTTTGGGGGATTCCAAATCACCACCTGGTACAGGCCTCGGAAGAAATTGGCGAACGCACTCATCTGTCAATGCCCCCCCCGATGATCAATGTTGGCGGTGGGTTGAATGAGCTGCACTTCGACCGCGGTCTTCCCCGCGCGTGTCAATTTTGAGTCCAGGGGAGCGGGGGAATGTCCACGAATTGCGTCCCTCTCCCGTATCTCACCACCTGGCCTGGGGGCTGCCAGGCCAGGGGGACGCGACGTGGACAGCGCGTCGCGCCGAAACGTGGTGGGCCAGGACCAGCGTCGCGGCACGCTAGCCAAAAATTCCCCACCGCATGCCCGCCACCAGGCCCACACGGGCTCACTGAGGGCCCAGGCCCCAGGAGCATATCGAACGCAGAAGGCATCTACACACCACCTCCATGCCAGGCCAGGGCCATCCTGGGCCCCAGGATGGTGTAGACCCTCCTGGCCTCGGCCAGGATGGCGTATACATCATGCCCGTGGTGGTGTATAGATGCCTACGTCGGATGTCGGCTCCTGGCCACCAGGCCACGAGGCCACATGGGCGATCTCGGAAACCCTGAACCCAAAAATTTGTTCATCTCTTGGGGGCGCCTTTTCTACTTCCGCCGCCTTCCGCCGAGCTTCCGCGAGCTTCCGCCAGCGGAGGCGGCCTCGTTTTCTTCCGCCGACCTTCCGCCGAGAAGGAGATGACAACTCCTTCTATCCTCGAAGGCAAGGCCCTTCTCGGAACGCCCCACATGGGCCTGCAGCTGCTCCCAAACCTCCAAGTCGTCAATTTGTTCAATCCGCGGGGCATCAGAATTACCCCACAACCCCAACACTCGTACAACCCTCGCGCCCGTTGACAGTTTGTCGCGGGCCCCCGGGTCCCAAGGCCAGGCTGGCCAGGCCGTCTTGATTTTGTCAATCCGCTGGGGGGTCTGGGCCCGCAGGTGGTGTGAACGACGGGTTCCTGCCGCGACAACGCCGGCCCTGGCTTCTGACTCAACACAGAATATAGTAGAATCGAGCGCCTATGCGGGCGTGCGCCCGGGCCCCTTAAGGGCGAGGCGGGTGAGGCCATGGCCTCGCATGAGAAATTGCGCACATCGGGCGCCTACTCAGAACGATGCGTACTTCGCGAACTTCTGCTGGTCCAGATGTTCCCGTAGATGGACAAAAAAGTGGAACCCTTGACACCACGCCCCCCCCCCCTCCCCCCTATTTCAAAGTTGGCCTCAAGCATTTGGCAGCACAGCCGTGAGAGGACAAAAAAGTGGACCCCCCAGGGCCTCCGAGAGGCCGAACCCAACTTTGAAATTGGGGGGAGGGGGGGGGGGGGGGCGAATGCGGGGCCGAAGACGAAGGGCTTCTATTTTTTTTGTCCCCTTTACCGTCCCACTCCTCTCGACACGAACCGCTCGTCCTTGAACGATCGCTTTCCTCCAAGGCCTCCAGAGGCTCTCGGCCCCATGCTTTTCAGCGGTCGGGAGCGTCTGCTTCCCGTGTCGTGGCGGCGGCCCCAGCGACACGCCATGCCATTCGAGCGGATCGTGTGTGCCGCTCCGCTCCGCGGGGCGGAAGGCTCAGAGAATCGGGGCTTCGCCAACGGACATTTGGCTAAACGGGGGCTTCGGCTTTTCCATCTGCCCCCGTTCACTGTACCCCCGTCTGCGGCGCCCAGGGCCCCCTAAACGGGGGCAGATCCAAACGTGGAAGTCGGTGTTCCCCGTGCCCCCGTTTGCTGTGCGCCCGTCTCTGGTGCCCTGAGAAAAGTTCGGGACGTGGACGCCCGCGGACCGGGAAGTGGATAGCGAGTCGCGCCGAAACGACCGCATGGGTTTCGTGCCGTGGGCTGCTCTCTGGTGGCCCCGGGCCCGGAAGTGGGCCCCTGTTGGACTTGTTCAGCCTTGTGCGCCCGCGCTGGCGCCGTCGCCGCGTCGAGGCGGCATGACTTAAATCTTCTGCAGGCGTGTCCCCAGACCCCTCCTGGGATCCGTCCTGGCCAGTTTTTCGAGCTGCGGCCCGCCGTGGCGACGAGGAGCGCCCCCACGGGGCCAGAGAACGAGGCACGGCCCTGCCTCACTTCCCCCCCCCTCTTGGGCGCTGCTGAGTGGGGCGAAGGAGCGCGCACCTTTCGTACCCCTTTTTGGGCCCCAGAGGAGCCCCTTTAGGGCCCCTTGAGGTGCAGAAAAGGTGCACCACCTTAGGGGCCAAGAAAGCTTTGCACCCTTAAGGGTGCACCTTTCCTGACCCCCTCGTTTATCCGGTGGAGGGAAGACATGAAGCAACGCTCCCCCCTCCCCCCGCAATTCAAAGTTGGCACGTATGCGCATTACTGGTCCGACACTCAAGCTCGGGAGATCCGAGCCCAACATTGCATTCGGGGGGAGAGGGGGGGGGAGTTCACACCATTGCGTGAGTGTTGCTCAATTGTTTCCAACACCTGTCGCCCCCCCATTCTGGCAACGCTTAAATCGGGCGTGTCCGTCTACAGTAAAAAAGTCGTAAATAGTATAGAAAAAACTATAGTTGTTGACTATTTGTTTGAGCATTCGTTGGCTATTTCTTATTCTTCACCCCAGAAATCGCCTGTAGGAGGACATGCCCGACCTAAGGCAACGCCCGATCCCCCTCCCGACGCTCCCGACCCGTCTGCTGCGCGGGCGGGGCGGGCAGGCCCAGGTCGTCGAGGCTGCACGGGCGGGGCCGCCCCGGCCTCGGCGAGTCGCGCGGGCCCTCCGGCGGCGGCGCGGCCTGCGCCCGCTGGCTCGGCGGAGCGCCGGCGCTCTGGAGGGCGTCGTGGGCGGCCGAGCGGTGGCTGAAGCTGTGCGCCCTGCGCCCGCTCTGGGGCGGCGGCTCCTTGGCGGAGGAGGAGGAGGGGGAGGGGGAGGAGGAGGAGGAGGAGGAGGAGGAGGAGGAGGAGGAGGAGGAGGAGGAGGAGGAGGAGGAGGAGGAGGGAGGAGGAGGAGGAGGAGGAGGAGAATGACCTGGACAAGGGGGCCGAGGGAATGAGGAGGACGAGGAGGAGGCGGCGGCGGCAGCGGCGGCGGCGAAAGGCGGCGGCAACGGCTTCCTCCGTGGGTTTGGGGGGGAGGAGGAGGGTGGAGGTCCAGGGAGTCGGCCAGGCGAAGGCAAGAGATCGCCCTTTGAGCCTCTTCTTCGCCTCCATCCTTTTGCCCCCCATCCTCCTCCTCCTCCTCCTCCTCCTCCTCCTCCTCCTCCTCTCCTCCTCCTCCTCCTCCTCGCCACCGCCGCCGCCGCCGCCCGCTCTCCTCCTCCCTCTCCCCCCCCCCCGTCCCGCCTCCCCTCCTCCTCCCTCCTCCTCCCTCCTCCCCCCCCCCCCCCCCCCCCCCCCCCTCCTCCCCCTCCCCTCCTCCTCCTCCTCCTCCTTCCTCCTCCTCCTCCTCCTCTCCTCCTCCCTCCCTCATCATCATCATCATCAGCATCATCATCATCATCATCATCAATCATCATCATCATCATCATCTCATCATCTCAGCATCATCAGCATCATCATCCTCATCCTCATCCTCATCCTCATCCTCATCCTCATCCTCCTCCTCCTCCTCCTCATCCTCCTCCTCATCCTCCTCCTCCTCATCATCATCATCATCAGCATCATCGGCATCATCAGCATCATCAGCATCATCACCATCATCAGCATCATCATCATCATAATCATCATCATCGCCATCATCATCACTACCATCAACATCATCATAATCCCCAGCATCATCATCAGCATCATCATCACCATCAACTTCATCCTAATCAGCATCATCAGCAACATCATGATGATAATCATCATCATCACCACCATCATCATCTTCATCACCATCAACATCACATCATCATCACAATCATCGTCATCGTCATGCTCATCATCATTACCATCATCGTCACCATCATCCTCATCCTCTTACCCCGCACTTCCGACTGGAGGAGCAACAGCAGGAACAGCAGGCGGGAGGATAAAAGATGAGGGATGAAGGATGGTTGATAAGGATGATGGGTAGGATGAGGAGGAGGAGGAAGAGGAGGAGGAGGACCGGTGTAAACCCAAGACGCATCAACGATGTTGCAATACACCCTCCCTCCAAGCTTCTTCGTGGGCCCCTACCAATACATAGTTTCACTGCAGGAATGCCCCATTGGATGACAATCGTCTGACAATCCTCAATCGCGCCAGAACGCACTTCCTGGGAATTCAGCGTCGCGAGTTCCTAAATCGTGCCAGGGCAATATATGAACATATCTCTGCGATTTCAACACCGCGAACCGGTTTGACTATTGCGTTCTGACAGCCCCAAATCGTGCCAGAACAATATTCCTGCCACTTCAGCCCTACGAATCTTTGAAACTGCTGCAGATTTCCTAGACGAGTGTGCGCGGCGCTAAAGCGAGAGTCGCATTGTGAGAAAAATAGCCCTCAATCGTTGAACAGATCCACGAAAATTTAAAACGAGTGTACACGGCGCTAAGGCGATTACCGCATCTTGAAAACGGCCCGCCTCCATCCGTGAAATTGTGGCACATGTTTAAGCGGATGTCCGCGGCGCTAACGCGAGAACCACATTCTGAAAGCCACCCGCCCTCCATCCGTGAACCTTTTGCAAAACTAGTTTCAGGATCATGCATGAATGTCTCAGGCGAAACGCCCAGCCCGCCCTACCGACCCGTTTGTGGGTGGCGAAGGCGGCGGAGGGATGGGCGGGGGCGGCGGGGTGGGCGGAGGGAGGTTTCAGGGGAGATCTCCCAGAAATAATGAGGAACGTGATCTTTAAAAGTGCTACAGGGAGGAGTTGTCATAATCAAAAGAGTTTGAGGAGGAGGAGAAGGAGGAGGATGAGGAGGAGGGAACAAGGAGGAAAGGAGGAGGACAAACGCAACAGGCTAACACCTAATGCCGGTCTAACGTAAAAGACGGAGGAGGAAAGAGGAAGAAGGAGGAGGAGGAGGAGAAGGAGAAGGAGGATGAGCAGAAGCAAGGGCAGGAGGAGAAGGATGATGATGATGATGAGGAGGAGTCGAGCGTGCGGAGGGGAAGGCTCCAGGCTCCCGACGGCCGCGCCCCGCACGGCGCCAGCAGCCCCCGCGACCGCGCTCACCTGCTCACAGGCAGCGCGCCAAGAGGAGGATGCCAGACATCTCCTCGAACGTGAACTGGAAGCTGATCTTGATCAGCGGCGGCTCCATGGAACCGAAGTGGATGATGTACGTCGGCATCTCCCTCACGATGCCGATCATGTGCAAGTGGATGTCCGTGTCCAGGTGCTGCCCCCTCGCGTCGGCGGCGGAGGTGGCGACGCTGCACGGGCGGCGGCTTCTTCATAGTCTTCGTGGCCCGCAGGGCCGCCCGCGCGGCCGACAGGGTGGCCTCCGCCGAGACGTGGGCCTCCTGCCTGAGCGCATGGTACGTGAGGCAGGCGACCGCGATGGACTCAGCGTTCTCGTTGCTCTGGTCGGTGAGCCCAAGCTTCGCGAACTCGGTGGAGAGGGGGGGCGCGCCGCATGCCCGTCCCACAGCCTGCGCCAGCGGTGCGCAGACTAGGTAGTGGCGCATCTTGTCTTGGCCCCTGGCGCAGCCGAACATGCACAGGCGCCTGCCGCATGGGTAGGCGATGCGGTGGGAAGTGAGCCAAGAAAAGGATAGTGTCCTCATCCATGCCGTCGCCCACGAAGGGGGCAGTCTCTTCATGGCGGCCTGGATGTCGTTCATGATGGAGGGGTTGTGGAGGAAGAACACACCAGCGTGCGGGAGCTCCTTCACGATGCGGTCCTGCAAGAAGGGTCCGATGCAGTCGGGCCCTCGGGTGGCCAGGGCCGAAGCGAAGGCGTGCTTCTGAGCGAGGCCAGGCTGCCCGTTGGCGACCGCCATCCGCGCGGCCTCGACCGCTGGCGCCACGAGCTGGTGAGAGTAGTATCCGTGGTCGGAGGTGGCCGACACGATCTGGTGCATCGTCTCCACGAAGGCCTGCGTCTTCCACCACGGTGGTGAGAGATGAAGTACACCCCGCGCAGCGCCTTCAAGGGTCTGCTGGATGCCGTAGGAGGTCAGGCCTTCATGCAGCCTCACGCGGATCTCGGTGAACTTCTTGAATGTCGAGGTCGCCGCGCGGACGATCGTCGCAATCATGTTGAGCTGGAGCGACCTCGGTGCAGGAACTCCCCAGTTCTTCAGGAAGGGCCAGTCCTTCAGCCTGAAAGCGCCATTCGGGAAGCGCAGGACGGAGGCGTTGATCCAGCTCTCGTGTTTGAAATGCTCGTGCGGGAGCAAGGCGTACTGGGCAAGGTAGCCAAGGACTGGGAGTGCGCGGCCGTTGTACAGGGAGACAGTTCCGACGGCTGGCGCGTCACTCGCGCTGTACGCCATGGCTCGGGAGCGGTACTTGTTGAAGGCCTTCGCGTAGATGAGCTGGTCCGTGGCGCCAGGGCCCAACAAGAGGCCGAGGTAGGTAAGGTGGTCGCATACGTTGAAGTCCTTGAACTTCGGGACTATGGCGAGCAGTGCGTTCTTGAGTCTGAGGGTGAGGTCAGCATTGGTCTGGCCTGCCAAGGGGATGATGTGGCACTTCGGCGCCTTCAATTCAAGACCAGCCAGGATTTCCATGCAAAGCATGACGTCTGCGAGGTAGACTAGGTAGGCAACGGCCCGAAGGACAAGACCAAGGTCATCAGCGCATGCCCGACAAAGTCCACGGCCTTGAGCTTCGAGGACGGTCTCGAGGTTGAGCAGGAAGCATGCAGTGCCCAGCGCATACAGCGTGCCGCTCCATCCGCATCCTTGGATGATGCCCGACCTGATGTAAAAGAGCGGTACGCACTGGCCAGCGCACGGTGCCATCGCGAGGATGTTGTTGCACATGGAGTCGAAGAACATTAGGACCGCTTCAGGGGCGCCCATGGCTTTGAGCGCCAGACGGATGAACTGGTGGGCGAAGCTGGGAAAGGCCTGCGCGATGTCCAGCGACACCAGCACAGGCAGCATGTCCTGGGCATCTGGGTCGGCCGAGGCAATGCGGCTCTCGGCGTCGAGCTCGAGGATGTTGTAGCCAAAGTTGCGCCGGTGGATAAACCCGCGCTGTGAGGCTGGGACAACATCAGCTGCCACCATTGCCGTCGCAGCATTCATCGCGCTGCTCATGATCTTGAGGGACGTGTTGCGCAGTCCCAAGACACGAACTTTGGATGGGTCTCGATGGCAGCCGTTGTGTTCCGAGTCCTCGGGTTCCTCACCTTTGGGCAAGAAGGCTTAGACAGTCGCGTTCACTTCGTCGGGGAGGATGCCGCCGTTAAGCATGTAGCACATGACGTCCCAGAGAACCTCGGTGCACTTCTCGTGCGCGGACCAGGCGAGGTACGGGAGCCCATCAAGGCCTGGCGAGGTGGGTGACGAGCGCTTGGCGAACTTCTTGAGCGTCTCGTAGTCTGGAGGCTTGTACTTGGAGAAATCGATGGTGGGCGAGAACTGGTTCAGGTAGGCTGCGGCCTTGTTCAAGTCGACGGACTTGCCCTCGAAGACGGGCTGCCAGTGCTCGACAAGTTTCTTGAGTCGCTCGTTGGGGCCCGTCACGGTGCCCTCACTAGTCTTGACCCCCGTCAGCACCAAACGCTTGCTGAGCGGGTTCCAGAGCTTGAGTTTCCGATGCAGTGCTTGGGTTTGTCCACGCGCTTGAGCGGGTCGTAGGCGCCCACGCTGAACTGCTTGGTCGATGGCTTCGAGACGCTGCTCAGCATCTCGGCGGAAAAGGATGCCTGCCCACTCTTCGAACTTTGCATGGTCAATGAGCTCAACGCTGTCACCGTTGATCTGGATATGTTCTTTCGCGACTAAGTGCGAGCGAAGGAGGCGAGCAGCG